GTAACGTAACGGAATACGTTACAGAATACATTTTGGGGCATGTATTCTGTATTCTGTAATGGAATACATTTTAAAAGTAACCTTCCCAACACTGCTCCTGTTGCTGCAGAGTTGCTTTAATTCTTCACTCTTTAACAAGGTGCTGAAAACATAACTCAAAGATTTTGTCCGTATTGACATGATAGCATCAGCTTTTGATCTATTTTCTTTTGAAGTAGTCAGTTGTGTCTTATAACCTACCATGGGGTGTCAAAATGGTATGCAATGGCAATTTATCAGTCTGCTATCGGTTTTTGATTAAATTAAAGTTAGCAATTACATGGATTACATTTTTACTCTAGTTTGACTGAGGCCTTTAACTGTTGGTATAATTCATGACTGATCCATGGTTTCTTGGTGTTTATACCAAGTTCTTATCCTACCATCCAAACGTTGTGGTAAAAATTTAATCTAATCTGACCGGGTAATGTTTTTCCTATATTCTATTATCCAAATTTGACCATGTGAATGGTAGCCTCAGTTTGCTTTTCTTAGCTGACAGACGTGAGACCCTGTGTGGTCCTTAAATACTCAAACCAACTTGTCTGCCAACGACAAACCATGCAACCTTCAAAGTGATTTAAGTCACTTAATTCCCCATTCCGATGCTCAGTTTGAACTTCTTTACCATTTATAAATACAGCAATGCACTGAGATGTTCATTTTAACAAGCAGTTGAACAGGTATGCCTAATAATCTGGTCAGCGTAAATTTAGGGGGTGGAATTGCAGGCTTCATGTAGTGTTTATCTCTATGACTACTTAATTCAAAGAACCTGTAAACTAGTATTTATGAATCACATGTCATAAGGTGAATGTGAAATCCCAACATACAAAAACTCTTATTAAGGTTGTGTTTGCTACTGCCTAGACTACTCATTTAGTCTCAGAGAACAGTTCAGGCTAAAGTACTTTTGTTTTCTAAAACTTATTACAGCACAGGACAGCTAAAGCTGAAGATGGCAAATGGACCAGCCCTGTCCACTGCTAAATGTGGGGAAGTATATGTAGGGAGTGAATTCAGAGATTCCTGCACAATGTTGGATGTTCTCCATGCAAATCAGTTTGAAGGAGACATTTTGGATCCAGCACTCACAGGGAAGACAGAAGAGACTTTCTACAGAGGGGCCCCACCTCAGTGGTTAAACTTCTACATCAGTGAACAAGCAGAGTTACATGGGACTGGAACTGTTTTAATCAAAAGACATGGATACACAGAGGTTAGGAAACAAATAGAGAATAAAAAAAAAATTCCAGGGATATCAACTGTAAAACTGACACACCAACCAGGAAGTGGGGGAACTACAATGGCCATGCAGGTGATGTGGGACTTGAGAAAAACCTTCAGGTGTGCTATTTTAACTGGCTCCACCTCAGACATGGCAAAAGTTGCAAAAGAGGTTGTCCAACTTTTCACAGCAGGCCGTCGAAACTACCAGAACACTGTGCTGTTGTTAGTGGATGATAAGAAAATCCTGGAAGATCTCAAAATCAGCATTATGATGACAGTTGCTGAGAAGAAGATAGTTACTTGTATGCCTGTAGTCATTTTCCTCAGCTGTGTGAGAAACAATGCACCTCAACAGAGTGACCACATTGTCCTAAAGAACACACTCTCAGACAATGAGAAGGAAAAACCCAACGAGATGGAAGCATTCAATGAGAAAAAGAAAGAGCTTCAAAGCAGATACAAAGATAAATGTGAACAGTTTCATGGCTTTAACATAATGCAAAGTAATTTCTCTCAGGACTACGTCAGGGAGGCATGTGCAGCTTTAGAAAACAGCAAAAAAACAAATAAACCTCGGAAGACACAGCTTGCTGCCTTCCTTTCCCTGCTGAATGACTACGTACCAGGGTCATATCTCCTGGAGTCTCAGTGCCTGGACTTCCTAAGACATGAAGACTATGATGACCTTTCACTGGAGGATCAAATGCAGCCTTTCAGTCATCTCATCATCACATTCCAAGAAGATGGAAGAGCTGAGAAAAAGGTCCGCATGGCTCACAGTATGATAGCACAATATTGTACTGAACTGTTGGCAAAGGCAGGTTTGACCAGAAGTGACACAACAAGAAACTTCTTGAACAGTTTTTGCAGAGATAAGGAGGATAATTTTTTGTCCAGTTCCATCAAAGACATGCTAACCAAAAGAGAAATGAAAATCACAGAGGACCCAACTGAAGGGAGAGATGTTAAAGAAGAAAAACCTTTGTTTTCTAAACTTATTCTAGATATTAAAGAGAAGGAGAGAAATAACAGAGATAAAAATTATGGTAAATGTCAGAGTGTGTCAGTTTTAAAAGTGGCCTCAAATACATTTGGTCAAAATCCATTTTTTCCACAAGCTCTTGCTCGTTTTTATTATATAGAATTAAAAGACTACAATCAGGCAGAAATGTGGGCACGAAGGGCAATAGAAAGAGATCCTCAAAATTCTTTTGTTGCTGACACACTTGGCCAAGTCCATAAGAACCACCTAATGAACAATGAGGTTTCTGAACTAAGAGACATTTTGAGACTGGCCAAAAAAGCCATTAAAGCTTTTGAAGATGAAGAAAAACTTGCTGAAGATGAAGATGGACCAGACATGAAAAAACATGGCAATATAAAAGTTTCACCTTTTTATAACTTCAGAGGGCAGTTTGGTTACCTGCAGGTCTGCAATACTCTGTATTACAAACTTGTCAGTCAAAATGAAACCTGGGAAGAAGTTCTCACCAAAAATGTATCGATGGGTTCTGTCCTCGAATTACTTGGAGAAAACAAACTCCAAAGATTCAATGATCTCATATTAAGCCTGCGAGATGACATTGAGAAAAAATGCATGTTTTTGGAAAAATTTCAGACTTACTCAAAGCCTAAAACAGAGAAAGATGATCCTGAATATATATCTAAAGACATCTCAAACTGCTACCAGAAGTATGTTGACAACACAACTGCAAAACAACTCATCCAGATGTTTCAGGAGGGAAACCTAGATGAACAGTCTGTGGAAGTGCTGTCATTTCTTATCAAACAATACACTCAATCAGACCTCAAAGACATATCTACAAAGTGTAGAGAAATGTGTCCAAGTGCGGATTCAGAGACAGCTCTGGTCAACAACATCCTCACACTATTTATAGGGAAAATGCCATCGAGCAAAAAAGACCCACCTGAACTACACATGTTCTCCCTCCTCTGGTACTGGGCTGGAAATCAAGGCCAATGTGATTATGACCTCAGTGAGTTAACTCAGCAAATGTACAAGTCTTATGAAAATACATATAAGAAGTACTTTCGAAACAGGTACCTCCTTCCTGTGTTTTTCATTGGAAAAGGTGAAGGTGTGAAGAGAATTGTTCACAGAAGTGTTATTGAGAAACATCTGAAAGCGATTGAAGCAGATTGGAGCAAGAACTGGAAGAAAGAAGAAATCTTCAGAAATCCTGATGTTCAAGAGCTCCTTCTCAGACTTGATGGAGAAGTAAGAAACTACAAAGTGTATACAAGAGTTGGTGGCAAAGAGATTGAGATGGATGCCAATGTGAGAAACAAAATTTGGAAACCACGCTCAGTTACCTTTTACCTTGGATTTACCATCAGAGGTCCTGTGGCCTTTGCCATTCAGCGCAAAACTGCAGACACAGGTAAGAAAGCATAACAGTAAAACTACAGTGAACTGTAGCTGCTTGTTGTTAGTTTATAGTTCTATAGTGATTGTGTTTGTATTATGGTCTTGAAGAGATCATTATACAGGTTGAAAAATTCTTTTCAAAACACATTTTATAAAACTACCAGTTTAACCAACATCATGTATTTATTTGCAAAACAACCAGCAAGTCCAGGAAATTACTCTTCTTATGAATATTGGTACATATAAAATAAAAGTCCTGTCCCCTCGCCATTACTGTTCTGTTGCTCTTAATAGCAATAGTTTATGTTTGGAAGGAAACATATACCAAACAGACAAATTTTTATATATCAGCAGAAAGAAACCTTGGACATTAATGTCACAGCAAGTTCTAAATATTAACATCCGAATATGTTTACTAACACATTATATCTACTAAGATTACAACATCAGCTTGTATACACCTTAGTTTCTGTTGTGGAATAAGATTTTTTTAACATCCATTATTGTGTTTTTCAACTTATGTTATGTTTACTGATTGCCTCAGATCACAGTGTCATGGATCTCAGTGGAACAGCCCTGACCAACGATGTGAAAGACACCAAAGATAATGAGGGACATTAAAGTTTGTGCTCAGGTTCCCCATGGGAAGGCGATTCTGAGACTTTTCTTTGTGTTTATGTGTTTACATGTAGGGGCAAAAACGAAAGGAAATGGGCTCTGTGATGTTTAAAACCAATGCAAAAGAAGTATGTGTTATGGTCATTTTTCCTGCTGCCGCAGTTTTAGTCATAAATATATTATTTCTGCTAACACCTTAGATTAAACAACAGAAATTCTGATTCATAGAAAAAGTTGAGTTCCTAAAACTTTTTTGCCAAGTGTCTATTTAATACTTTGTTCGTGGATTTGTCACATCTATGTAAGTTTTGGATGTAGTGAAGTTTACAAACTTTGTGAAGAAACGTCTCAAATGATCTTTTTTTACATTGTTGTTTAATTGTTTTAATTGGAAGTTTTAAAAACATGATATTACAGAATTGTTTAGTCATTTATAACATGACACGAGTGAAGCATAACCAATGAAACTGTTTGACATATTTCAGTTGCTGCTTCATGTATTGTACTGTTTTGATTTGTTTTCTAAAACAGTAGATTTATGAGATATAAGTTTATTTGTTGTTTTATTTGTGCATTAAAATGCAGTTCCGTGTATGTGCTATTACCTTCATGGTTTTATTATGGATTTATGCAATTTTAAAAATAGAAGGGGTTTCTTTGTTCTCATTGTGTTGCATTGTGTTGTGGTTTTTTTTTTCACATTTTTAATCAGACCTTTGTTCATATTAAGATGAGTATTGCTGAATTTATCATTACTTAGTAGGTAATGTTTTGTTTCTGCAGCACTGAATCTATTTGGAACTTTGCATACTCAGTTTGATTATGTAAATCAATATTAAAGTTACATACATAGCTACCTGTGTATAATAATATTGTTTTGCATTAATTTCAAATGTGTTTACTGGCTGTTAGTCAAAATCAAACAATTACTTTTAAATGTTTTAAAGGTACACTCGGTTTTGCATTTTATGTTTTTGGGGGGTATTTTAAAGGGTTTATCTATAGCTTTGTCATACCATTAAAACAGTACATTGTTGTTGTTATTATTATTAGTAGTAGTAGTAGTAGTAGTAATAGTAGTAGTAGTAGTATGGTCAACTTTTAGAGAATTGCCAACTATCTCTCAATTTATTTGTCAAAAAACTAAAAAAAGAAAGACATAAATTCTGCATTAAATATCAGAAAAACCTAATTTGCTTGAATACTTTTGTCCATGGTGATCCTTCAGTGAAACTATGCCATCTGACAGCATAATAAACATATAGGTGCACTTTGTCTGTTGCTTTGAATAAACAGAGTAGCTTGAAAAGGAATCAAACTCTTGTCCTGATTATTATTTTTATTTTTATTTTTTTTATTTTTTTTGTCAGCCACCGTCTGATGCCTATGATTACATGACAATTGTGTATGGGATAGGTATGAATAGAAGTGTGTATGAATTTCCACTTTTGGTGCAGCTCTCTGACTGTAAACATAAACATAGAGCTTGTCTGGCATATACTAAATTATCCAAAATATATTATAAACTTCCAAGTACACACGTGTTTGATAAGACGATGCTTGATGATAAGAAAAAAACATTTACAATATAAGAAGAGATTTACAGAATTAAATAACACTATCTGGAAAGTAAAGGAGGGCTTTATTATCCAATGGTGACAAAAGTGAGAGGAGAGCAAAGCACCCCCTGGAGTCTAGATGCTGGTGGCAGTCAAGATGAAGATGAGGAGGAGCCTGGTTGCATGAATGACAGTCTGAAAGACAGAATGACAGAAGACCACTGAGATTTTAAACACAGAGAGCAGAAGGCAGGCAAGAAAATGATTGGACTGGAGTAATGATGTTAGCAGCTCGATGAGTGATTACAGATGTTCCTTACTGAACTTACACATGAGCCTCATTATTACTGAGGACCAGAAATATGTGGAGCTCAACTCCCAGCATGCTGGGTGAGGACTGTGTGATAAGGGTAACGTTTTGCCACTGCACTCACAGATGTGAACATTATACCTGGATCAGTTACACAGGTCAAAGTTACTAAAACATCAGAAATACCTGAAAGGTTTCTTATTAAATAAACCTGTTGTTGGTTCACTGTAAATTTGGTCACATCCTGCCCCCTAGAGCCTACACCAAAAACACTACTTTAATATCATAAATGAAACATTCTTTAATCCAACAGAGCCGCTGGTCCATTGAGTGGATCTCATGCTTTGACTCTCCTTCTATGCAACGTAGGATTAAGCTGTGTGGTTGATATGTATTTAGGAGTAAATGTGTTAGTAATGTTTCTTTAAAAGTTGGCTCTGACTGTTTTCATGATGCTTTAAACAAATTTTTAACCTCTGCTGGTACTGAAAAGTACTGCAACATAAGCATGCACGTTAATTTGATACCTATAGACAAGGCAAAGAATAACATCCACACAATAGACCAGCTGGTCTATTATACAATTTGCTGTGATATCAGGTTGCATTTTCTTTATGAGGCACTATATTCTCAATCCCCCTTGAATTCCTAAGGTTTTTTGAAGTTTCACTTTTTTTTCCCACAAACTCTCGCTCGTTTTATTATATCAAAATTTGGGCAAAAAAAAAGCAAAGTGGAGGGCTCACTGAAGTTTATTTGTTGCAGATACACTAGGCCAAGTCCATAAGAGCCACCTGGAGAACACAACCAATTCTGCCAGACCACGAGAAATTTGGAGACTGGCCCAGAGGGGATTGAAGCTTTTGAAGATGAAGAAAAACCTGCAAAAAAATGAACATGTCAAAGGCAAACAAGAAAGTGCTGCTTGGTTACCTGTGGTATGACCATCTTATCAGACAATGAACAACAATGAACTTTGGAAGAAAGTTCTCACCAAAGACGTGTGACTGGACTCTGTCCTGAAATCCCCCAGAGATGAGAAACTTTTCATGTTTATGGAGCTAGTAAACAGCCTCAGAGATATGGTTATGAAAAGGTTTGAATTTTTTTGACAGTTTCAGATTTTGTTTTGAAAAAAGATGATTCATCCTACATTTCACAAAAAATACCCCAAAACATCAGAATGTCTGCAAAAGGTATGTTGTGCCAAGCCAAATGATCACATCCAGAAAACCTTCCACAAACTTAAACAAAACCTGTCTGTCACTTCTCATGTCTCAAAAGATGGACTAAACCAGACACCAAGGACATTGAACTATGTCAACATAAAGACTCTGTTATACATGTCTTACCCAGCTACATTCTGGCCAATATCATGCTGATTAATATGAAAGAAACGTTTGTGTTTCTCCCTGAAAGCAGATGAGTTTTTATTGAGATATTTTAATGAGTTTACGTATGATTTTATATCTCATCAAATAATAAGAATAAGAATAAGAATAATCAGATACATTTTTTTGTTTTTACACACACAAAAAAATAGAAGCTTTAACGTCAAAAACATCACTGATTCATATCCTGGCGCCTCTCGTTGGCTGGAAGCAGCAAGTACGCCACCTGTCGAAACAGGCGTGAAACACAGCCCAACGTCGGAGTTTGCCGTGGTCACGTGACCTGGGTGTTTTCAACCGCACTTTGGAACTGGGTTTCGAAACGTCTGTGCCTCGGTGGCTCAATACCAATGACTGTAGATGCTCAATACAGTATCGAAACGTCAATATTGAGCTTCCAGTCGGCAGCACATAACGGTTTTGAAACCCTTTATTCAGGCTTGGATATGCGCATGTGTAGGAGGGTTTTACATGGTCGATCGAAGCACGCGCTTGTGAGTCTTCACTACACACAAATCATTGTACACGTTTGTAAATCATCATATCGTTATATCGTACTCGTTCGTAACACTTATCTTTATCTCTATATGAACTTGAGTAACAGGTTAACTCAACCACAAGCGCGAACTAGTGACGGAAAGAATAATCTTCCGTGATGAACGCGTTCATAGTGAAACGTCAGTATTTCCTGTTATGATTATCGTTTCCTTATCAAATGAACTTATGAATGCAATACCGCTTTGAAGAAGTGCACGTAATGTTTTAATAGAGGACAAAATTAACATATACCACCTATTTTATTATTTGTGCTGGATAAATTTGCAAATTTCCACTCTTTGGCTTCTAATTGTGCAATATTTGACTTGTTTATCGACTGAACGAGTCAAGTGTAGCCCCTGCCTTAAAAAAAAAAAAAAAAAAAAAACTTTAAGCAGGAAGAAAATGCGCCTGGGATTGTTTTAGAACTGCTCTGACATTCAAAGTGTAGAGGTGTACATGTCTGTAGGCAATTCTCTCTTCCTGCTTTGGGTGTGTCTACTACCTCCTGGGTTACAGTACACATCCACGGTCCCAGTGCTTGAACACATGGCATGATAGCAGGTCGTTAGAGCTGTCCCCGACATTTTAGAGAAGGTAAGATAAATTCCGTTAAGATCTGAAAGTTTTTGTTGAAGTTCATGTTTGGTCCTTTACATGGAGAAGGCTATATATGTGTGTACTCCACCAGCAATGAAATGGCTATTTAAATATATCACATTCCATAAAGTGAATGTAAGACCTTAATTTACAAATAGTTTAAGCTAAGACATAAGACTAACAAATGTTTCTGTTTTGTTTTTACATTCATTACCATGAAGCAAAGTGAAAGTGTGAAGATGGCAAACAGACCAGCCCTGACCACTGCTGAAGGTGGAGAAGCAGATGCAAGGAGTAAAATCAGTGATTCCTTCTCATTTTTGGATGTCCTCCATGCCAATCAGTTTGAAGGAGAGTTTGTTGAACCTCAACACGCTGAGCAAGTGGAGGAAAACTTTTA